GCTTCCTGGGAGACTGCAAATAAAACTCCACTTTGCGGAGAGCTCAGCACAGAATCTCATTTTTTCCTCACAGTCTGGTGCTTTGCAGCTGTCACCCCACTCTGGCTTTTATCTGGTTACCTGGAGGTCAGAAGCAGATTTGTGGTGGCTGTTTACTGTGTGGATTTTAGGCGGCAGGCACAGACCTCAGCTGGAAGGGAGGCCAGGAGCAGGTGTCCGGTGCGGGTGGGCAGCAGTGATGAGGGTGTACTCCATACAGGGCAGACTCGACTTCATTTCTGGGAGATGAGGCTGTCAGTGACAATGCCCAAGCAGCAAGTCCAGCCAATTCAATAATTTCACATAGAAACAAACTGTTTTCTCTTCCTAACGTGTTTCCCAAGTAGAATTTGTTTTTGTTGAAAGACAAAAGCTCTTCCTGTGGCTGATTACTTGGGCCACTGACTTTCGGGCAGAGGGATTCCCGGGAACATCTGATCAGTCTCCCCTGGCTGCTCAGGGCCCTGGTTGGGGCAGCAGAGATGATGGAGAAAGACGGTGGTGAGGGAAGAAAAAGCTCTCAATAGCACTTAGAAAAACACACTTTTTAAAACCCCCAGTAACTCTGTTTTAGTGGCAATTATTAAATGAAGCAACAAAGTCAAGATGTGAATATGTTTGGGAATAAGCAAATACCCAGAGCAGGTTTGGGGAGCTGCCAGCAAGAGTCTGCAAGGTAAGGACACCCTGGGGGTGGTGACCAGACTGCCAAGGGAGGATGCCAACCCGTCAGTACCGTCAGCACCGACCTGGGGCCCTGGAGGAGAGCAGAATCCAGCTTTCCTGGAGGGAGGGGCAAATCGCTCTGTCCTGGTAGTGTGGATGAAAAGTCTCACATCCTTCTCTAAAACTGTCCCCCTGGGCTGGGACTTCAGGTTCTGGTCAACTGTATGATGTAAATGTCCAGGAAGGAGTAATGACACATGACACATTGAGCTGTCATTACTCATTTATTACAAGTGAAACCTGTCCCTGAGAAGTCGGTTGTAGAAAGTGGGGAGAAAACATTTAGGCACTGAGAGGTACAGAAACATAGAAGAACAGAAAAATGATCAAAATGCTGAAGGTTAAGTTCATCTACTATTTTTGGTCCTGGGGATTGAACCCAGGGGCACTGAGCCACTGACCCACATTCCCAACACATTTTATATTTTATTTACAGACAGGCTCTCGCTAAATTGCTCAGGGCCTCATTAAGTTGCTGAGGCTGACTCTGAACTCCTGATCCTCCTGCCTCCGCCTCCCAAGCTGCTGAGATTCCAGGCGTGCACCACCAGGACCTGGCAAGTTCATTTACTTTTGCTGCTTAGAGTCCTTACAAAACTTCTAGCAGGAATGGCTCTCTGCCCCCCTTCCCCCTCTGTAGACTGGCAACCTCCTTTCTTTTCAAATTGAGGCAGTCACCAAATCTCAAGGGACGCTGGGGCTTGTCTGGGCTCTTTCTAATAATATCATCTATTTATATAATCAGCTCATGGCAGTGAGGCTTTAACGTTTGGTGATGTTCGAGGAAATCAGTCAGCCATCCTTTCTACACCCTCCCCCGTCTCCACCCACCTCCCTAGTGTTAAAGCACCTCTGGAGACCTACGTGGTAAGCCCAATATCCCCTTCAGAGGCATGCCCTCAGTGACCTAACTTCCTCCCACTTCCTAAAGGCTCATCTTCTCCCAATAGTGCCACAGACGGGTGACAGACTTTCAATGCATGGGCCTTTGGAGAACATTCAACATTCAAATTGTAGCAAAAACCTAAATCAAAGCATGTCACCCTCCTGGCTTGAGCCTTGTTGGTAGCTTCCAACACACTAGCAAGACCCTCCTTAGCAACACCCAGAAACCTCTGTGCGATCTGCCGCCACCTCCCTCTCCAGCCGTGTGTGGCTCACTTTCCCTGCTCACAGTTCCCGTTCTCCTGGATGTTCTCAGTCCCATGCTTATTATTATTATTTTTTCCTGCCTCCAGATCAGGCTTTTTACTCTGCCTGAAATATTCCTCAGGGCTTCCTCTCAGCCCCAACTTTAGCCAAGATTGATCAATTCTTCCTCATTATTCAAGTCCTAATTTAAATGTCATTGTCCAGGAGAGACCATTTTTGGATTTTCTAGTCTAAAATATTTATAAGGACACATTTTGGAATTGTGGAGTTGCTTGTTTGTTTACTGGTTTTTCCATTCTTTGGTCTGGGTTGTTCATTACTATATCCCAGCACCAGCTAGGTACATCATTGGACCTTATATCAGTCAGAATGGGCTAAGCTATGCTGCAGTAATAAAAACTTCCAAATCTTAATGCTATGATTTTGGTGTGATTTGAGGATCATGTTTAAAGCCTTGGTTCTCAAGATGGTGCTGTTGGGGTGCTGTCCTTAGAAGGGACTGTGGGGCAGTGGTTTTTCCTCTGCTTGTTGTTAGAGATGTGCCTATTCACTCCTATGTGTACTCCTGCCATGATGTATACCATCTATATTGCCTTCACCAGAGGCCAAATCATTGCTTCCCCACCTGATTGTGGACTTCGAACCTGCCAAACTGTAAGTTTAATAAACCTTTACTCTTCACAAGTTAGCTGCCTCAGTTATTGTGTTATAGTAACACAGAACTGACAAATACACTTAGTGTCTTCAACCCATAAAGGTTTATTTCTCAGTTATGTTGAATGTCCATCACAGATTGGTAGGGGGATTGTGCTCATTGTAGGAGCCCAGGCTAAGGGAGAAGCCATCCTCTTACACATTCCCAGTACTGAGGATGAGAGAGCTCTTCAGGGATTCCCTCTGGCAATTAAATTCTCCAGCCCAGAAAAATGTATATGTTGTATCTGCTCACAAGTCATTGGTTAGTGCTAGTTATATGGCTCCAACCAACCAGAGGCAGCTAAGAAGTTCAATCCTATCCAGTGATTAGCGAAGAGAAGTAGAAATATTTCCCAAATGGCCCTAAAGATTAGCACAGTACTCTATAAATACTTTTGAAGGAGTACCTAGAATGTTCTTTTTATAGCACAGTGGGTTAGAGGGGCCTTAGAGTTTTGCTGCTCAAACTCTTGGTTTTACCAGGAGGCAGTGCTCTGGCAGGAGAAGCTCAGCAGAGAGGAGATCCCCTGAGACCTGGCAGGAGCCATCCCATAGGCAGCTGAGGCCTGGGGGGACACATTGCTGGCCTAGTATCCTGTGTGAAGCAGCCCCGTTCCCTAAAAAAAAAAAAAAAAAAAAAAAAAAAAGGTCCTATCACTCCTCTATGACTCTACCACACTCAGCTCAGGGCCCAGAACATCCAGGAGCTGAATATAGGATCCTTCAGAGTTCTAGAGGAGGAGTGTGAGACAGCCTTTCTCAGACAGCCCAGCACATCCTGCTACTCATACAGAGGAAAGCTGATATGCACCCAGGAGAGGTGGTTTTAACAGGGTCTTGAGTGTACATCATAACCTCTGGCAGTAATCACAGCCTTAGCTCACATTTGTGGAGCTCCCACCAAATTAGCACCTGGCACTGTACCTTGAGCTGTATGTGTAATTTCACAGAAATCTTTATACCTATGTGTGCTGAACTGTTCCTATTGTACAGCTGGGAAACTGAGGCCCACAGAGGTTAAGTAACTTCCTAAGTAACTGCTAGTTATACATAAAGCCTTCCTTTGAGATTAAGCTGCCAGACTCCAAACATCATTAATCCATAGGGAAAATTTGGGTGTGATTCCCCTTCTAGATCATAAATACTGGAGAGCATCCTTTTTGAGAAGCCTCCTGCCAGTTCTTCCTGAGAGTACCCAGCAAAGTTTGTCATATCATTAGCACTCAGTAGTCCACAGTGCACAGTTGGGGTAAAAACTGAATACTTCAGATACTAGACTAACAATAAAACGGTTTTCTGGTTACATTAAAAAAAAAAAAAACAACTCTGTGTCTTTTGCTACAGATATTGAAGGGGTGTGTGGACGTGCTAATACATAGCAACCTAATCAAAGCACAAAGCTGTTAATACACATGTATCCAACTTATAATGATCAACAACAGAGGAAATAATCATTCTGTGCTAGTTGCTGTGGGTAGCACATTGAACAAGTTTAAACGTAGGCCCTTCTTTAGAGAGGCCTACATTTAAACTCTTAATTGCAATACAGTGTGATGTGCCACGTCTGTGTAGAGGTCAGTGAGGCCACAGAATATGTGAAGGTGCTGGTTAGTAAACTCTACAAAGGGAAGGCTAGTTAGAAAAATCACCCTGGGTAGAAGCCTTATTTCTGATTTAAAAAAAAAACACAAATTGTGGGGCTTTTAAAGATGATGTCTAGGGTAGTTTGCTGGAGAAAACCTCTGGCCATGAGCTTGCCCACTGCACTTCCTGCTTCCAACTCTGGGTCAAGGTTCTGGCTCTTGGTTGTGACAGGGATTAGGTTACAGTGAAGCTTTGGTTAAATAACTCCATTACTGCTAATGGATGTCATCAGCTAAATTATTGGTGGCGGAACATGGAGGTGCCACTGCAGGAGCCCCTAGCTGGTGTCCCCAGAATTGGCTGGACCTTCCAAGCGCACTTGGCCACATCTTAATTTTCTGAGGTTTCGGTAGAGCAGGTTTGTCCTTCCCTTTTCCTTACTTTGGCTTCGCCCTGGCCTACAGCCCACAACCCCAGCGCCGCTTCGCCCGCCCACGCCCAGCGTCCCCAGACCAGGTCCGGGCTCCTCCACTGCAGCAGCGGTCACGTGCAGCGTGTCCCGCCCGGGAAAGAAGGGAACGGCGGTGGGCGGGCCAGAGCTGCGGGGCCCGCCCCTCCGCGTGAGTCGGCTTCTTATTGGAGAAGTCTCCTTCCCGGCCTCCCGCGGCTTGGAAGGTCCGCTTCGGATTGGCCGATAGGCGCTAAGGGGGCGTGGCCTCGAGGCGGAGGGCGAGAGCGGAAGGGAGGGCGCGCTCCTGAGAGGAGGGGTTGCCTAGGCGACGCCGGGGGCGCGCTCGGGGGTGGAGAAGCTTGCCGGAGCTGCTCAATGACAAATCGGCTGGGGACGGCTGGGGTCCGGCCCCGGGAGGGGGCGGGGCGCGCTTAAGAGCTGCGGGCTGGGCGCGGACGGCCGAGGCGGCGCGGCCAGGGTCCCAGGTGAGGGCGCGGCGCCCGGGCAGGGTCCCCTCCGGGCGGGGTGGGGCGCGGGCTGGGGAAGTGGGTGCGCCGCCCAGTGCCCTGGAGCCTCCTGTCCCCGCGCTCTCCGCGGGGCTGTGCTTGGGCAGCGGCCGGAGACGTCGCTCCCCGGGGCCCGCGAAGGGCGAAGCCCGGGCAGCTGCCCCGCTCGGCTCCGGGAGGTCCACCCTGGGGAAAGCCTTGGGCCTCTCACCTCCGCTGGGGCTGAGGAAGTGGGGGCGGTGCCCCAGCCTCTCCCTGGTCGCCTCTCCTTCCCTTTTCCCACAAATGGCCACTGCTCCCACTTCCTGCCCTTTGGGTCTCCAGCCTGAGGGAGGTTCATTTCCTCAGTTCCTTAATTGCCGCTTTGCGCAGGAAAAGAGCGAAAAGTGTCGCAAAAACTTATTACCGTAGGAACTTGGGGTGGCTCGGGCCGGTTGCTAAAGTTTTTTGGTTTGCTGTTTATTTGGGGGTCTTGTCCCCTTGAGCACAGTCCCCTCACCGTCGTTCCATTCCGATGGGGTCTTGAAGCACCGTGACTTTAACTGCCCTGACCCGGCAGGCGACTCTGTTCTTGGAGTGTCGGTGGTTGGTTCAGATCAGTCGCTGCGCCCAGACTGCTAGTTTGAACAGTGCCCTTCCTCTCTCTGCGCACTTTCGGGTGACTCCCAGGAACGTCGGAACTTTGATGTTGGGACCGAGTGAGTCTTCTGGGGAGAAGTTGTACTGTCAGGTGGACTGATTTAGAATTGTCCCAGGAAGAGACTTGGCTGATTGTTCGTTTGAGTTATCTGTGACTTGACTTCAACCCTTGCAGAGCAGAGAACTTTCTGCCCTGTCCTAGTTTCCTAACCTCGTTTCTTCTTGTTAAGTTTTGGGGATGGATAGTTGGCACTCATTGGCAGGGGTATAGCATATTTTTTAGATGTGCAGATGACTGATGTCCTAAGCAGAGCAACAAGATTCTTGGATGTCAGACCTCAGAACAAGGCAGTGTTCCTTAAACCTGGAGCAGTAGAAGCATGGTTCTCAGAAATGGGGTGACCACGAAAGGTGGTGCTACATATTGGCAAGAACAAAAGACAGTTGAGTTTGTAGACCTGGGTTGAATGCTGGTTCTGGAACTTTATTAGTGGTCTTGATCTTGAGCATTCCCCCCCCCCCCAAGCTCCAGAATCAACTGTTAAAAAGTTGATAATAGTTTTTTAATCCTCATTGTCAGGATTAAATTAAATAGTAACTGTTTAAAGTGTGTGTGTGTGTGTGTTTTTTTTTTTTTTTTTTTTGTAGTTGTGTGTGGGGTGGGGGGAGTGGTTGCTTGATGTTTCCCAAGGGCAAGTGTATTAAGGTCTTGTTTGCCATGCTGTGGTGCTGTGCTGAGGTGGTAGAACCTTTAAGGGGTGGGGCCTAGTCGGAAGATTAGGTCTCTGGAGGGTGTGCCCATGAAGGGGATATTTGGGACTCCTGTGTATTCTTCCTCTTTTTGCTTCCCAGTCACCATTAGATGAGCAATTTGTTCCACCACACTCTCCCATCATAATCGAAACAGGCCTTAAAGCAACAGATTGACCAACCATGGTTTGAAATCTCCCACAGTGTAAGCCAGAGTAAACCTCTCTTCTTTTTAACTTTTTAACTTCTCAGGAATTTGTTACAGTAACAGAAAGCTAACACTGGAAGAAGCATCAGCTACTCTACTTTATTCTGACCACATCTTCTGGTCTTTCTTTCCTTTTTTGGAAAGGGAGAAAGAGAAAGTTCCTGAAATTGAATCCAGGGCCTCATGTATGCTAAGCATGCTCCATACCACTGAGCTACATCCCCAAACCCTTTTCTTCTGTTCACATTACTTCTCATTGGAAACAGCAGACACTCAGATCCTAGCAAGACTCTCCTATGTCTGAAGAGTAGACATTTCCCCAGAATTTAGTGTGGAAAAAGTGTCGATGTAAATTTCTGGGTATCTTTTGGGAAAATGGAACCTGGACACCTAAAGACAGGAAAACAAGAAATAAAACCTTAAGTGGAATTTGAAGAGGTCTTGGTGGAAGGTGGAAGAAGTGAAAAAAGTTCTAAATTCTTGCCTTGAAATTCTTCAAGTTTCTTGTCTGTAGAAGGCTGAGACTTCATGAAAAAGGTTAAACCTGAGCATGGAGGTGATCCTGAACCACACCACTCAGTCCCACTAGGCCTGCTGCATTCAGTTACTAAAGTCTTACCTACTCATCTCATTTGTGGAAGACAGAAACATCATTCGTGACCTTTTCTGAAAGCTAAATTTGGAGACAACATAACCACCTAGAACTACAGTTTGGAGGAGATATTGGTGAACTCTTAGAAAGTTTTCAGTGTAACTGGTCTCAAGATAAAATACAGAACTTCCACTTTTCATTGGCTCTAATTACTGGTAAACAGCCCCCTACTGTAGAACATTCAGGACACTTGGGGTTTTTGTGTATTTGTGTGTGTGTGTGTGTGTGTGTGTGTGTAGGGGGGTAAATGATGCATGTTGTTGAGAATTCTGAATGTTAGGGAGCCCAGAATACCAGGAAGAAGGGGACTCTTCCCTATTAGGGTGATTGGGTGTGTAAGAAGAAGAGAAATGGTTATTGGACATCCTTTATCTATTTGGCAGAGATCCACTGATCTAACCAATACCATATAAATATGTGGCCTTGAAGATTTGACAGTGAGCTATTTCCTTTAGCACCATGGTTCTTATGGAACTTAGGAATATAAACAGTGGTGTGTATGTCCACACATTCTTAGACATTCCAGAAAAGCAATGGGGCCAGTAGGCAAGAGGGTGTGTGAACTTTTAGTTGGCAAGAGGGAAAAGAAAGATATAGAGAACAGATATAGGAATCTGAGTGTGAAAGTGGGAAGGTAGGTAGATGTGGTTATTATGACAATTAGAAAATGACAGCCAACTCTCAAATCTAAGTTTATAGCACTTAAAGAAAAAAAAACTGCTTATACTTTTCCTGTCCTCTTGAGAGTCCCCCCGCCCCCTGCAGTGCTGGGGATTGAACCTGGGGACCTGGCATGCTAGGCAAGCACTCTGCCACTGAGTTACACCACAGCCTCAGTGTTTGCTCTTTTTTTTGAAATATAGATGCAGAGCCAGATGTGATGGTGCACATCTATTATCCCAGTGATGGGGGAGGCTGAGGCAGGAGGATCCCAAGTTCAAGGCCAGCCTGGGCAACTTAGGGAGATCCTGTCTAAAAATAAAAAGGGCTGGAGGTGTAGCTAAGTGGTAGAGCTACTCAATCCTCAGTACTAAAAAAAAAAATGCAGAAAAGGGGTTATTAATAGGTTATCCAAAAAAAACTGGTAATCTGCTATATTGTTGCCTTTGCTTTTTGTCGTTGCTTTATGGGTAACTTATAGCACATTTTCAGCCTACCAGATTGGTAATTGATATAGCAAGTCAGGCCTGATCTACACTGAACTATTCCAAGCTACATAATTTTACTTAGTATATGACACGAGTTAAAGGAAATACATCCACTGTCATGTATTTAAAAAATAAAAGCAATTTTAAAAAAAAGGAAATACAGAAGCTGCCCTGTGTGATTGGCTTCCTCTAAAGTTTATTTGCCTTTTGAGTTTTCTATTGGTGTGTAAAAAAAATTTCCCCAAATTTGGCAGTACTATAAACGTTAGTAATGATCTCACACAATATTTATTTAGTATTGTTTCACACAGTTTCTGAAGTTCATCTATTCAGTTGGTCAAGGGCTTTTGACTCAGATTCTCTCCCAAGGTCACCATTACCTGAAGGCTTGATGGCTGGAGGAACAGCTTCCAAGATGCCACACTCACATGGCTGAAGTCTCAGTTTCATACCACTCGAGCCTCTCTATATAGGCTACTTCACAAGATGGTAGCTAACTTTCTCCCCAAAGCTAGTGATCTGAGAGAGAATGTGTATCATAGTGATCAAGATGGAAGCTACAGTATCTTGGTATCTAATCTTGGAAATGACAGCCCATCACTTCTACCAGTACACAGAACAAACCTGATATATTGTGGGAAGGGACTATCTGAGGGACCTTTGGCATTCTTGGTGACTAGCTACTACTTTGTTTTGGCAGTAGTGGGGATTGAACGCAGGGGTGCTTTCCCTCTGAGCTTCATCCCCAATCCTATTTCATGTTTTATTTTGTTATTTGTTATCGGGTCTCCCTAGGTGGCTGAGGCTGGCCTTGAACTTGCAGTTCTCCTGCCTCAGCCTTTTGAGTAGCTGGAACTACAGGCATGGGCCACAATACCCAGCTTACTTTTTTTTTAACATTTGGACCAGACATTATTGAAAAAAATCTTTAAGATGATTAGTAAAGTGTGTAGTACTGTAGGAGATTAAAACACAGCTGGAGTTTTTGCTATTCTAAAAACTTTTGGTAGTATACTTGAAACTTTTTGTTCTTTCTTCTGGTTCTTCATTGTCAGATGCTAGAATTAATTAGCCAAATATGCAGTTGCTTTGGAAATTAGAAATTTAAATTTTGCTTGTCCCTAAACCAAATGGAACAGCTGAGATTTTTTTAACCCTAAAACAAGTTGGTTAAAAAAAAAAAAAAACCTATTGCCAAAGTGATTTCCTTGATGAACAGCTTAAAATTAGTCATTAATGATTTGTGTATTCTTAAAAATAAAGCTCATTGGCAAAGTAGCCAAAAAGTTTTGGAGAATTTAAGCCCTCTCTCCTCGCCTGCATAATTTAAATCTTTGGACAATGTTTATTTGCCTAGCAATTCTTCAGTTCTCTCTCAGCCCTCACACATTTTAATTATCCACTTGGGTAGAAGGACTTCATTCTTCAGCATCCACATGAAATCTTCCTGAGTGACTACAGGTCAGGAACAGAGTTTAGGAAACCCATGCCTGTGGCCCGGCTAATTAATACACCTCCCTGTTTCCTTTCATCTCTGAAATTTCTACAGTTCTAATATTTTCATGTAACAGATCTGTTTGAA